AATTTTCTCGCGAACGAAATGTACATCTAGATCAACATGCTTGGACTGAGCATGATAAATTGGATTGGCACTCATTGCAATAGTACCATAATTGTCACACCAGATGGTAGGAGGTGTGACCTGAACTTCTCCCAGATCTGCAAGCAAAGCACTGATCCACATTACTTTTGCAGCAACTTCAGCAAGACTTTTATACTCAGCCTCCATGGTTGAGCGTGAAACAGTCTTTTGTTTCCTAGATGACCAGGACACTAAACAATTTCAAATAAAGACACAATGACCAGACATCGACCGTCTATCATCCATATCACCACCCCAGTATGCATCAGCAAATGCAATAACTTGAAGGTCAAAACCAGCAGAAGTGAAGTCCAAGCCATAATTCAACGTGCCTGCCAAATATCGAAGAATTCTCTTAACTGCCAAAAGATGAGACTCACGAGGGGCTTGCATGTATTGAGCAACCTTGCTCACACTGAGAGCTACATCAGGTCAAGTATGACACACATACAACATTGAGCCGACAATGCTACAAAACTCATGTACATCGACTAAGAGATTGCCTGCATCATTAGACAGTTTAGTAGACACAACCATAGGAGAAGTAGTTGGTGTGACCTGTTCCATTTTCATTTTTTTCTAGCAAATCCAACACAAACTTCTTCTGACTCAACACAAGAGAGTTGGCATACCATTTAACCTCGATGCCCAAAAAATATGACAAGTCACCAAGATCCTTAAGAGAGAACTGCTTGTTGAGTTCACAAATGACATAATATAAATCAAAGACTCTCCTGTCAAGATGACATCAACATACTCGAGAATAAATGTACGAACTTCATCCTGAGTAGCAACAAAAAGAGAACAATATACTTTGGACTCACGAAACCCTAAAGCAAGCAAACTATTACGAAGCCTAGTATGCCAATTGTGTGGCACTTGTCTCAGGCCATAAAGAGCTTTTTGAAGCTTACAAACTAGCGGAGTTGTAATACCACAAATTTTTATAATGACTAAAATGCAAGTTTTGAAAGTTTAGTGGCTAAAATATAAACTTTGAAAAGTTTTGAGACTAAAATTGTAATTTTTAAAAGTTATATATTTTACCATATAAATGATCAGTTTGGATTAAAACAAAGATTTTAGTGGGAATCAGTTTTTTTTGTATGTGATTTGTGTTAAAAGTTATAAAGCGGTAAAATTTGGTAATCAAATCGAACCGAAATTTTACGAAAATTTGAAGGATGTTAGGAAATGGTTGGAAATATTATTTTCATATTTTAGATCAGATAAATTTGGCACAAAAAATGCAATTTTTCAGATTTGATCGAACTGTGGAATTTTAGTGACTAAAATGCAATTTTTGAAATTTGCATGGCCAAATTCGAAATTCAAAATCAATTTAATTCATCTTTGACCAAGGAATATTTTAATGTATGATATGACAATGACATTTGGTAATTTTCAAGATTTATTAAGGGTATTTTTTAGATTTCTCATTAATTGAATTTTAAATTCAATTAATTAAATAAATGCCAAGTGTCTTATCTTTTAAATACTACTAGAAAACTCAAGAGAATTAGCACATTTTAATCTTATTCCTTCACTTGGCTGAAACTTCAAGCCCTCCCTAGGTAATATTTTGATTTTTGATTTTTGAAACAATATATTTGATTTTTGGATTTAGCTATTAGATAGAGAAATAATCTACATGAAATTCTCTATCATTTGGTACCATTATTTCATGGTGAAGATGATTATGTGATGAGATTTTATGATTAAGGTTTAAGGGGGTTTAGTGATTTTGAAGAATTGATGATTTTTATGTTTTTTATGTTGGTGATTATTTTTAAAGCATGATGATGATTAGAAATAATTGTACATGCATATATAAGGTTTGGATTAATTAGGGTTTATGGAAGTGTTAGGATTTGGATTCAATTTGATGTTGTGATGATTGGAAATACATTAATTTAATCATAGGAGGTTGAATTCATGCTTGAAATTGAACTAAAAGTTCCCCCTAGGTGATATAAAGCATTCGGCCATAGGGAAGAAAATTGGGGGAAAATGTTGAAAATTTTCCTATGGATTAGAAATTATATTAGAAGTATTACATGTGATTTGGAGACTGATTTGGATCAATTTGGAACCTTGAAAGTGTAAGAAGGGTTAGTTTACAAGTTCTTGGAATTGTGGGATATTATTGTAAGAATGTAATTTTTGAGGGATTCAATGTTAATATTTGATCATTGTAATGCTGGAAATTAAGTTGGAAAGTTGTTTGGAACCAAATTTGGTAAAATTAGTAGTGGAATTCGAAAGGTCTCAAAACCTTGGGGACTTGTTTGCAAGTTATTAAATGTAGAAGTATCATTTGGGTAAATTATTGAATGCTGAAAAATTTATTAGTATGCTGAATTTTGAATTAAATATTGAGTTGGGGTTGAATTACAAATTTATAAAGTTAGGTGATGAAAGTCAAAAGTTTAGAAAAGTTTGGGTTGAAATTTATAATGTTTTGAATGTTGAAGTATTGATTTGGGTATTTTATTTAAGTGCTGTAATTTTAGTAATTTATGTGCAATGATCATAATGTGAAGGACCATTATGAATTAAATGGAAAGGTGAAGGTGAATTATAAAAAAGAATTCATAATCTGTGACTTATTTGTATAATTTAGCAAAAGATGAAGGGTTAAGGATGAAAATAAATATTCATAGATTTGGATGAGTATTTTGAGAAGTTGGAAATTAAAATGGAAATGTGATTTAGTTGTTATCGATTTAATCTCGATTTTTATTTTATATATTTTCAAATGTTAAAATTAGCTTATGTTAGTACGATACTAATATATAGTTCGAATATTTTATGTTATAATTTGGTATTGTCATATTACGATAAATCTAGCAATCCGAACAATCCAAAAGGAAAGGAGAAAGATCGTGACTACGACTAGTATATACAAGTTCTGTAGTGAGGAAAAGATGAGTGCAGCTTATTTATTTAATTATTATGATTTAGGATGACTTGTGATAAGTCAACCTCATTTATTTTCGAAGATATGAATTATGTTTTGATTTTAGAAATATATCCGTAATATTTTAATAAGTTTATTGAATGATTTTGGGTATAAACTGTCCATGTCATGTTTTACGAATGTGAATTAAATATATTTCTGATTCTAATATGATTTTTATTAAATGATTTCGAAATGAACTGAAAGTCCACTGTATGTTATATTGAGAGTCAAAGGTACAATTGGCATGCCATGAGGTAGAGTAATTACTTGTTCTGATTTTGATATATTGTGGTGTATCGGAGTGTACACTAGTATATATATTCTGATTTGAATGCACTTTGTGTGCATATGGTGATTTCCGATGTGATAACATTGTGTGTGCTTATATATTCTGATTATGATAATATGAGATATGTATTGCACACCGTCTGACTCACGTACCTTATATTCTCTTAAATATACTTTGGACTATAAAAATTAAATATGAAAGTTCTGAAAAGTATCTGACTATAAAAGAATGTTGACTGATCATTATGTCTTATCTGATTTATTATGATTTTGTGAAAAATCATCAGATGATTCTTTTCAGGTTTATGATAAAGTTCAACATGAGATATTCGGTTTGAACATTCTGAAAATACAATCTGTTTTATTTTTAATGATTTTATATATTTCGATATTTTATTTATTTGTTCTCACCTTTAGCATTACTGCCTCACTAAATTATATTTAGTGCGTGATGATTTTCATGCATATGTTCCGATTGAGACTCGGACGTTTTGTGAGGAGCCTCCCAAGCATCGTGTGCATATCATTTGTAATATCAATATTAGTAAGACATCATTGATGTTTCTTTTGACTAGTAGTGACATGTATATTAATGTTATTAACCTGTTTTATTAGTTATGACTAAATAACATGTAATAGTAAATTAAGACTGTTTAATTAGACTAGTTTAGTTTATCAATATTTTGGTATGCATGAATATATAGTAATTAAAATATTATGTTTTTAAATGATACAAAATTTTAAGTATGAAAAAATAGTTTTAAAAGTTGAAATTAGGAATATTTTAAAATAAATAAAATTTTAAGCAACTGTGAATAATGTTCGTAAGTCAGTTTGATGTGATATCTATGATTCGTATTTTTAGAAGTTTACGGGTTATGGGTGTTACAGGAGTACCATCAGGGGTAGGTAATAACATCTTAACAAAAACTTTAAGATATAAAATAAGACTTGTCAACTTGAATAACTCAAAAAAAAAATTACTCGACTTGACTCGACTCGATCGAACGCTTACTCCTAGACGAAGGTAAGATTTTTTTTGTTGAATGAATTTATAAAACTTTAGAGAATAAAAATTAAATTATCAATACAAAATATTTATTTATTTTAATTAATCTGAATAAATATAAATAATATTTATTCAAAGATAACTCTCAACTATTTAATATACGCTCACACCCTTCGTTTGTGCTCTATAAAAATTATTTAAAATATAAGAAATTTAATTTTTTTTAAGAAATTTAAATTTTTTAGAGTATGAATTCTCGACCGTTCATCACTGGTAACATATCGAATAGAAGAAATTGAAAAAAAAGAAGATAGGCTTGTCTATAAGATGGGGAAATTTCAACGTGTTCTTTACCTAACGATTGCAGCTTTTGCTTTGGTTTTAAGTTCTTTCATCTCCTCACGTTTTTTTTCTTTGTTTTATCACCATTTATTATTAATATTATTGTATCAGGCATTATATTTACAGGATTTGGAAATTCGAAAGATAAAACAAATGATGGAAACAGACAGATGGGAGGTCATTGAAGCTTGGAAAAGCAGGGAAATAAAGGGGCAATGGTAGGTGGTTGAAAATAAAAGAAGAGAAGAAAGCTTAGCTTCAAGGCAATGTAGACTCTGCAACAAACGACACTGCCCCTTAGGCACATGTTCAGCTCCCAATAAAACTCTATTTCACCCATTCTCTCCTTTGTCTTCTTCTCTCATCATCATCTCCAATGGAAGCCAGCGCTGGACTCGTTGCGGGTTCACACAACCGCAATGAACTTGTCGTCATCCATGGCCATGAAGAGGTAATAAAGGAAGAACGTTAGTTTTATGAAACAGTTTGCTTGAGCCCCATTCTTTTGTTTTGGTTGATTGTGTTGTTGGTGCATTCAGCCTAAACAACTGAAGAACTTGGATGGCCAAGTTTGTGAGATTTGTGGCGACGAAATCGGGTTGACGGTCGATGGAGATCTTTTCGTGGCCTGCAACGAGTGTGGTTTTCCGGTTTGCAGGCCTTGTTATGAGTATGAAAGGAGGGAAGGGAGTCAACAATGTCCTCAGTGCAAAACTAGATACAAGCGTCTCAAAGGTATTGCCATTTAGACATTCATGTTCTTGGTGCAGCTGCCATTGTTTTTTTTCTAACAATTGAGATCAAATTTATACTTTTTTTTCTTTCTGGTTTGATTTGTGGTGAAGGGAGTCCTAGAGTGGAGGGAGATGAAGATGAAGAAGATGTTGATGATATCGAACATGAATTCAACATCGATGATGAACAAAACAAACATAGGAATATTGCAGAATCGATGCTCTATGGGAAGATGAGCTACGGTAGAGGCCCTGAAGATGATGAAAGTTCTCAAATCCCATCAGGTTTAGCCGGTATCAGATCGAGGCCGGTAAGTAAAGTTCTTTGATGTGTAATTGACATTCAGCAACAAAATGAAAACTATGTTCCAGTTGCCATGAAAATCCTTCATAATAATAGCATTGTTCTTTCTGTTTGTTGCAGGTGAGCGGTGAATTCCCAGTAGGAAGCTCTCTTGCTTACGGGGAACACATGTCGACTTCTTCCCTCCATAAACGAGTTCATCCATATCCCACATCTGAACCTGGTAGGTTTAATCTTGTATCATATAAAAGTATCTTCTTTTTTTCCCATCAATCATCTCATTTCTTAACCACAAAACAAAGTTTCAAGTTCTCAAACAAATTGACCACGAATATTATATATATATTGGCAAACAAAAGGAAGTGCAAGATGGGATGAAAAGAAAGAGGGAGGATGGAGAGAAAGGATGGATGATTGGAAATTGCAGCAAGGAAATTTGGGTCCTGAAAATGATGATGCCTATGATCCTGACATGGCCATGTAAGTATTTATATCTGTTATATGCAGATATGGGAAGAAAACTTGAAAATATGCTTTTCTCATGTAAAATCTCCTACAGGCTCGATGAAGCTAGGCAGCCCTTGTCAAGGAAGGTGCCAATTGCATCCAGCAAGCTCAATCCTTACCGTATGGTGATCGTGGCTCGTCTGGTTATCCTTGCTTTCTTTCTCCGTTATCGAATTATGAACCCGGTGCATGATGCGATCGGGCTGTGGCTAACTTCTATTATATGTGAAATCTGGTTTGCCTTTTCATGGATCCTTGATCAGTTCCCTAAATGGTTCCCCATTGACCGTGAGACGTATCTCGATCGCCTTTCCCTCAGGTTAACAATTTTTTCAAAGTTCTAGCCACTCTGAATTTATTATTTTTATCCATTATCAAACACATACCGTTTGATACAGGTATGAGAGGGAAGGTGAGCCCAACATGCTTGCTTCGGTTGATATCTTTGTCAGTACAGTGGATCCACTGAAAGAACCCCCTCTAGTAACAGCAAATACGATTCTATCGATCTTGGCCGTGGACTATCCGGTGGATAAGATCTCTTGCTACATTTCTGATGATGGAGCTTCCATGCTTACTTTTGAAGCATTGTCCCAAACAGCTGAATTTGCCAGAAAATGGGTGCCATTCTGTAAGAAATTCACTATAGAGCCCCGAGCACCAGAGATGTACTTCACTTTAAAGGTTGATTACCTCAAGGACAAAGTCCAGTCAACATTTGTGAAGGAACGCCGAGCTATGAAGGTTTGTATATATGAACTTCCGAAGACGAAAATCAGAGTTTTAAATTGCAGGGAGCTAATCTTTTCAATTCTCATGGTGCTTAACAGAGAGAATATGAAGAATTCAAGGTTAGGGTAAATGCACTTGTAGCCAAAGCCCAGAAGGTTCCTCTAGAAGGGTGGATCATGCAAGATGGGACACCATGGCCAGGAAACAATACCAAAGATCACCCTGGTATGATTCAAGTCTTTCTTGGTCAAAACGGAGGCCATGATACCGAAGGAAATGAGCTTCCTCGCCTCGTTTATGTATCTCGAGAGAAAAGGCCTGGTTTCGCACATCACAAGAAAGCTGGTGCCATGAATGCCCTTGTAAAGATCTTAATCATTTATTAGATTCTGTTTCATTCTAGTTCCTCTCCATTTCTAAGGCCTAGCTTTTATGTGTTGATAATTCTGTTAATCTATGCAAATATTTCAGGTTCGTGTTTCTGGAGTGCTTACAAATGCCCCTTTTATGTTGAACTTGGATTGTGACCATTATATTAATAACAGCAAGGCTGTAAGAGAGGCCATGTGTTTCTTGATGGACCCTCAAATTGGAAGAAAGGTCTGCTATGTCCAATTCCCTCAACGATTTGATGGTATTGATAGGCATGATCGATATGCCAACCGAAATACAGTTTTCTTTGATGTAAGTGAAGCAAAAAAAAAAAAACTACTTTTCAAACCTTTTGAAATGGCTAAATGGGAGTTCATGCTTGTTTTTGTGCACTATAAGATGATATAGGGACGGACAAATGAATCAAACTTTTATCTCTTGTTCTCTGGTTTATGCAGATTAACATGAAAGGTCTAGATGGTATACAAGGCCCCGTGTATGTCGGCACTGGCTGTGTTTTCAGAAGGCAAGCTCTATATGGTTATGAACCACCGAAGGGGACTAAGCGCCCAAAGATGGTAACCTGCGGTTGCTGCCCTTGTTTTGGACGCCGTAGAAAGGATAGCATGCACTCTAAGGATGGTGAAAATGCAAATGGTCCAAGCCTGGAAGGTGGTTAACAATGACATTTTATTCTTGTCTTTCAATTTCAAGAAGCTGCCTTTCATATTGTTTATGAAATAACTTCCATATCTTTTTTTTTAATATTCTAACAGCAACCGAAGATGACAAGGAGTTCTTGATGTCCAACATGAACTTTGAAAAGAAATTTGGACAGTCAGCCATTTTTGTAAATTCAACCCTGATGGAACAAGGTGGTGTCCCTCCTTCCTCAAGCCCTGCAGCTCTGCTCAAAGAAGCCATTCATGTAATCAGTTGTGGTTATGAAGACAAAACAGAATGGGGGAGCGAGGTACTTAACTTGAAATTTCATATGACATTCCCGCTTCGGGTTTAGAAGGACGAATTCATGTTTTTAAAGTTCAAACATTAATCCGACTTTCGAACCTTCCGCAAGTGCAGCTTGGCTGGATTTATGGCTCAATTACGGAGGATATTCTAACAGGTTTCAAGATGCACTGCCGTGGATGGAGGTCAATATACTGCATGCCGAAGTTGGCTGCATTCAAGGGTTCAGCTCCCATCAATCTCTCGGATCGTCTCAACCAAGTCCTTCGATGGGCGCTCGGTTCTGTTGAAATTTTCTTTAGTCGTCACTCCCCTTCGTGGTACGGCTACAAGGGAGGAAAGCTAAGGTGGCTCGAGCGATTCTCATATATCAACACAACCATCTACCCCTTCACATCTTTACCACTCCTCGCCTACTGCAGCCTCCCAGCAATCTGTTTACTTACTGACAAATTCATCATGCCACCGGTAAACAAAACACTCTCCTTCAATCATTTAAAGCATACAACATTAAACACCTTATCCGTTAACTAGTTCTTACTCGATCCTGCAACAGATAAGCACCTTTGCAAGTCTATTCTTCATTGCTTTGTTTCTTTCAATCTTCGCAACTGGCATTCTTGAGCTAAGGTGGAGTGGAGTAAGCATCGAGGAATGGTGGAGAAACGAGCAATTTTGGGTTATTGGTGGCATTTCGGCGCACCTGTTCGCCGTCATCCAAGGCCTGTTGAAGGTTCTAGCCGGTATCGACACTAATTTCACCGTCACATCCAAGGCAACAGATGATGAGGAGTTTGGAGAATTGTATGCCTTCAAATGGACAACCCTCCTGATTCCACCAACCACAGTCTTAATCTTCAACTTGGTAGGAGTTGTTGCAGGCATCTCGGATGCCATAAACAATGGATACCAATCCTGGGGACCTCTCTTTGGAAAGCTCTTCTTCTCCTTCTGGGTCATTGTCCATCTCTATCCATTCCTTAAAGGTCTAATGGGGAGGCAAAACAGGACACCAACCATTGTGGTGATATGGTCAGTGCTATTGGCCTCAATCTTCTCCTTGCTTTGGGTCCGAATCGACCCGTTTGTGCTGAAAACCAAGGGACCGGACACAACGATGTGCGGCATCAACTGTTGAAAAATTTCGTTTTGCGTGTTTATATGGATTATGCATATCCGTTCTTGCTCATACGAGTATATGGTATGTGTGATGTATGAACAAAAAAAACGTGGAGATGCACAAGAAAGAATAAAATTAGAGTGAAAAGTTGTATGTTAATATGCATTGTGCCAACTACCGAGTTTTGTCATTGAATTGAATGGGTAAATTACACTTTTAATATCTAAACTATCAGTTTTGTCTGTTTTAATACATAAATTTTCAATTTTTTAAATCTTCCCAACGTTGAGCTTTTGTTTCATTTTAGTACCTCGTCATTAAAAACTTAATGACATATTTTTTTGCTAGTAAATTACATCATTAATCACTCAACTATCTTCTCATTGGTACTAAAGTTTTAAAAAATCAATTTATTTTATTAGTAATTTTTGTGACATGACATTTTTTATTTTATTAATATATGATTAAGAATAAAAAATGAAATTGAAAGTTAGAATGATTAAATTAAGATTAATTTGGAAGTTAAGCAATTAAACTAAAAAAATTGAACTTTAGTGACCAAAAATAAGAGTGAGAAAATAATTGAGTGATGAATAAACACTATAAATGCTCAAACTCAAAACCTCAATAAATAATAACAATTTCTTTGCCACATAAGTCGTTTGACATAATAATTTTGTCATTCACGTTGCATTTCTATTCTACAAGAGAAGACTTGTGATATGTGATGTGATGATATTTTGATATCTTCCTAAATCAATAGCATCGCATACAAGTAGGGGTGAAAAAAACTCGATTTAACTAGATAAATTTTAAATTCAAGTATAGAGTTTGAATAACTCGAACATTTTAGTAATTGGTGAATTGATTTTCAATTTCGCGTCAACTTTCTCAACTTTGTATGATATATATGTATATCGTATATGATTATAAAAAGCCATTTAAATTGGAATAAAATATATCTTATATGATTATAAAAAGCCATTTAAATTGGAATAAAATAATACTCTAATAAAATAAATATTTACAATTAAATTTAAACAGAAATTTGAATAACTCGACTAAAAATTTTTCAAATAAAGTTTGAGTTATAAAATAAGATTCGTCAACTTGAATACAAGAACACAAGTATTTAAGAACAATAAAAAATTGGTGATCATAAGAATTATTACCAACAACAAAAATACATCAATAAAATTATGTAACAAAGAATTTTCCAGTCCATCTAACATCCTCTAAGACGCCAAAAATTGCAAGAAGCATAATTATTTCTGAAACAGTAATTCCAAAATTCTGTTTTCTTCAAGGGGACAACGAAACAAGAAGTGTTGACCGATGAAAAATCTAAAGATGCCAAAACTTGAGCTCATGTTGAACAACTGAATCGTCTGAGTATTTAGGGTTTCTCCTAGTTCTATAGTTAGAAAGCCAGTCAATTATAGAATATAGGCGGGTTGAATGACATGCCTCAAATGGAGGATAGAACTCGATCTTGATTTGCTTCTCCCTCCAAACTATTATTTAATGAGCTGAGTTGTTGTTCCATCACCAATAGTCCCCACAGGAACACAGACCATCTTTAAAATGATGGAACCGATTAGCATCCCGGACCACAATGACTCTCTCAGTAATCTTGGATATAAATTTAGTAGCACTATGACAATCTACACAAACTCGAAGATTCTTAAAAATTCTAATTTCAGTTCCTGGGGCTGTAGCAATAAGACCAAAGGCAATGGCCAATTTCTCACTGTGAACGTTTATCACTAGCTCCTTCTCTTCCTCTTCAACATCATGCAGTGCAGCATCAGTCTCAGTCTGAAACCCTGCCTCCTTCATTTTCCTTATTAATTTTTCTAGCACTGCATATATTGCTGATGCTTGAGGATGGGATTTATCACCAGATGTAAAGACATGTGGAGTTTCACCAATCTCAATTAGAGTGCATCCGGGAATCTTTGCCAATTTTCTTTTCTTAACATCTTGGCGTACTGAAGCAGCCAGTCGATAGTTCCTCTCAGCCGAGTACAAATTTGATAGTAAAACATAATATCCTACATTTTCTGGATCCAATTCAAATAGCCTCTCAGAAGCCACTTGAGCAAGCTTTTTATCCTTGTGGATCACACAAGCACCAAGCAATGCACCCCACTCAGCAGCACCTGGCTCAACTGGCATTTCCTTTATAAACTTTAAGGCCTTCTCTAATTGGCCGGCTCGGCCAAGGATGTCAACCATGCAGGCATAATGTTCAGGTAATGGCTCAAAGTGATAATCATGGATCATAGACTGAAATATTTCCTCTCCTTCTTTCACCAAGCCGGCATGACTGCATGCATATAGGAGAGAAAGAAATGTAACACCATTCGGGGCAACCCCAGAATGTGACATTTCAGAGAAGAGCCTAAGTGCATCCTGGCCCTGGCCATGAAGACCATAACCTGAAATCATCGCATTCCAAGTCACCACATTTTTCCCCACCATCAAGTCAAACAATTCTCGCGCCTCCGTAATGCCACCACATTTTGCATACATATCAATTAAAGCCGTTGAGACGTATATATTAGTTTCAAAATTCTTGCTTTTAACTAGGCCATGCACCCATTTCCCCAGACTAAGTGCTCCAAGCTGAGCACAAGCCGAAAGAGTGCTTGTAAATGTGACAGGATTGGGACTAACTTTGGATCTCTGCATTTCTTGGAAAAGAGATATTGCAGCTTCTGTCGATCCATTTTGAGTGTACCCTGAGATCATAGCATTCCAAGACGCTGACGTTTTCTCTGAGGACTCATCAAAAAGCAGCCGTGCTGATTTAATCTCATTTAGTCTGCTATAAACAGTAGTTAACGCTGTTGAAACAGAAGATTGTGAGATAATACCAGATTTCACACAGAAACTATGAATACAAGTAGTAAGATTAAAATAGCCAAAGGGATGAAAAACAGGAATCAACCCCACAATTGTGCTAGAATTGACCTTTTCCCCAGAACCAAGGAGTTGTTTGAATAGCCTCAAAGAACACTCACTCCCACCATTGCTGGTATACCCCGAAATCATTGCATTATAAGAAACCAAATCGGGTCTTCCAATCTCTCCAAACAATAACTTAGCCACCTCAATCTCCCCACATTTTGAATACAAGGAAATAAGTCCGGTAAGCAAATGAACATAGGAATGAAACCCGAGTTTTAAAGCCAAACACTGAACCTCCATTCCCAAAATCAAATCTTGCAATTCGGCCAAAGCCGGTAAAACAGCTGCCAGAGTAGTAGAATCCAACCGAATCCCACTATCTTTAAGCATATCCCCAAAAACCTGAACAGCATCATCGAAACAACAATTTCTAACCAACCCAGATATCATAGAATTCCAGGACACCGTATCTCTTACAGACATTTTATCAAACACCTTTCGCGCCATGTCAACCCGCCAAATCTTCAAGTAAAAGTCAACAACAGCAGTGCCCACAAACAAATCCAACGAATACCCATCAACGACCGCATGCTCATGCAACAAAATCCCAACTTTCTCATCGGAAAGGGTTGAAGCGGAGGCGATGGCGAATGCGTAGGTGAAGTTATTAGGCTTGAGATGAGTGCATTTCCTCATATGGGTATAAATCGAAATGGAATGAGCGTTGGATAAGCCTTTGATGAGGACATTGAAGAGGAAGAGATCCGGGTTTGGGATGGAGTGGAAGAGGTGACGTGCGTAGGAGACGGCCTTGAGGTCGAAGAGCCTGTGGGTGAGTTTAGTAATGGTGGAGAGATCATTTTGGAAGCCATTGAGGATGATTTGGGCGTGGGTTTGGGTGAGATGAGCAACAGTAGTGGATTTCTTGAGGAGGTGGAGGAAAAAATTTCGACTTCTTGTTGAATAGTATGTGCTTGTTATTGCGGACTTCATTAACATCTGCTTTGCAAACTCAGAGTTTACTCCCTCTCTCCCGAACTAAAATGGCGGGAAACAGATCAAATGCTGAACTTCATTCTATATGGTAACCCAGGCTAAAATAGAAACTAGTAATTCGTTTTGAGCTCATTTTTCTCACAAATATAATTGTATAATACAATAATAACTTTATAAGTTGTGTAGTTAAAAAATATTAAACATGTACTATTATTGGTAAAATGCATCAAAGATTCGTGTACTTTTGAAAAAAATCAACGTAACATTAGTATTAATTTTGTCTCTCAATGTGATACTCTAACTCAGAAAACAAAACCAATGTGACCTTTTGACCATAGTTTTTTGTCGATTGACCGTTACGATTCTGACGTAACGGTTTACGATACTGACGTTATAGTTTATCTGTCATGTTCGAGTTATCAATTTAGTTTTTCTGACATGTTATGCATCACATTATTAATCATCGTATACTGTCATATCAACATCATAGACATCACATCGATACCATGAACGATGAAAAATATCAATCAAAAGACCACATTATGCTTATTTTCTGAGTTGGATGACTATATTGAGAGAGAAAAATAATATGATGGCTACATTAAAATTTTTAAAAAGTACAAAGTCCTATGATGTTTTTTTGCCATTATCATTTAATAATTTCAAAAGATAAATTTTTTATTTTTATTTATTTTAATTAATTGGTTTATTTATAATATAATTTTAATTTTAAAATATATTTAAAATAATTTAATATTACCTTAAAGAAAATTATCTTTATTTTAAAATTTTCATTAATCATTTCATTTATATAATTTTTTTGCACGTGGATAAAAGAAAATATTCTGTATAAAAATTTATAAATTCATTTATTATTATTTAAGAAAATTAGAAGGTCAATAATTTAATAGGGATACATATAGGAAAAAAAGTAAATTTTCATTTTATTAGTTATCTTTTGAAATTGACATTGGGATAAAAAATCATACAAAAGGTCATTATACGCTAGAGGTTTAAGGGAGGTTAATTCGTCACAGCCCCGAGAATTCCCCCTCATCTCTGCAACAACCAAAAATGGCTGCCACGGTCTCACTGTCCTTCACTCAATACCCATCATATTCGAAGCCTCCCGTGCCCCTAAAACCCCACAAAAAGCCCCTTCTTTTCATCCACGGACACTCCTTTTTCCCTTTCCAATTCAGTCTCAATTCCCCTTCAAAACCACCTCGTTTCCACCATTTATGCGACTCCATCCACGACAACTTCGTAGAGAACATCGAAAAGCCAACAAATTTCCTCTTACCCAATGCTCACAGCCGCCAAATTCTTTCCCCAGATTCTGCTCCAAGGATATTTATCCAAGACCCACTTTGGATATCAGCTTTATTTTTGAAAGGTCTCTACAAACTGACCAACCAGACCGTCAAAATAGAGCATAAAGATATCGAGAAAAGGAAGTATAATTTGCTTAGGAGGAGACAAGTGAAGGAAGAGACTGAAGCTTGGGAGAAGATGGTGGAAGAATACAGGGCATTGGAGAGGGAAATGTGTGAGAAGAAATTGGCGCCCAACTTGCCGTATGTTAAAGGGTTGTTTTTGGGATGGTTTGAGCCTTTGAGGGAGGCAATTGCGAGGGAACAAAAGGTTCAGAAAGGAAAAAGCAAGAAGCTGAGAGCGGCTTATGCCCCGCATATTGATTTGTTACCGGCAGATAAAACGGCCATCATTGTTATGCATAAGATGATGGGATTGCTTATGGGAGCTGAGGAAGATGGGTATGTGCAGGTTGTGCAGGCTGCTGTGCATATTGGGGTGGCTGTTGAGCAGGAGGTTAGCCTATCAAGCTTAATTTTTGTTATTTTTTCCCTTTTTGCTATTAGTTTGAGGTTTCTGGTTCATATTAGTTCACAAAAGTATATTCTTTCATTCTTTACCTTACTAGTAACTGTGATTTATTTTCTTCTACTCATGCAATTTCATTTATCAATGCCTATAATTTTCGGGTTTTGACCTTCTCAGTTGACTCCTTTTCTTTTTATCATTGTTGTCATAAAGAGGATGAAACTTTGTTAATGCTACCTTGTATCAGGTTAGAATTCATAGCTTCTTGGAGAAAACTAAGAATTATCAAAGGAAGCAGATTGTAGATGAGGTTCAAGGTGTGAGCAAGGAGAAGGAGATACTTAGGAAACGTGTTACTAGTTTGATTAGGAGGAGAAAACTCGTTGAGGTGCAGAAACTGATAAAAAATGAAGAAATTAAACCTTGGGGTCGAGATGCTCAAGCTAAGGTTAGCAGCCTTTTTGCTTATCTTCTTTTCTTAACGGTCTATTGATTTCAAAAGGTCTTCCCTCTATGTTTTAGATTTTGAGAACCCTTTCTTGGCTGATTGTTACCCTGCAGCTTGGAAGTCGTCTTCTAGAACTATTAACTGAAACAGCTTATGTGCACCCTCCAATTGACCAGTATGGAGATAGCCCTCCCGATGTTCGGCCTGCTTTTAGACATAAATTTAAAACCATCTCGAGGGATCCTGGGTGAGACTATCTTCTTTGTTAGCCTTTTATCTTTGCAGAATGAACCCCATGCCCTATAATGGTCTGCCAGATCATCTTCTAGGTTATTAGTAACTGGGCTATTTCTTAGGTGTGTATTTGCCTGTATATGTCGGATTTGATTTCTAGGTCTTGCCTGTAGACCTCTGGCTTTTTGTTCAGATGGTGATGCATTTAGGGGAAAGAGGGGTGACAATAATGCTATTTTCTTTTCGTGTTTTCCCAGTAACAATTAATTTTCTGAATAATGTGTTGATGTAGGCAAAAACTTAAGAAGAGATATGGTAAATGCAACGAACTGGAACTGTGGTACTTTGTTGCAAATTTACTCTTTTAAGCCTTTGAAAGCTTGCCATGAACATATAGACTGTCAGTTGTCTTTATCTAATTGCTAGTGCTGCTTGACTTTCTGAAATGGCATGTGTACAGGCCCTTGATACGCTTGGAAGCACCAAATGGAGGGTGAACAAAAAGGTACTTGCTGTGGTAGAGAGCATTTGGGCTAGTGGTGGCAACATTGCAAGCTTGGTTGATCGTAATGATGCGAGCATATCATGAACTTCTGCTTTCAAAATTTACTTGATTATTTTAATTCCCCCCTCCCCGGCTATCTAACGCTGGTTGAATGATACTCTACCTAGAGATTTAGTGCTTGCTAGTTAATGATGTCCACATTCCAATGGTATCTACCTTTCTTCGTGCTTGTTTATATGAAAATCATGCCAAGATTTCCACCATACCAGTTTAACTTCTGGTTAATTCCAAGCAGTTGCCTTTGTGGTGATATTTACGTGGAATCTAAGTTGAAAACTATTCTAGCATGCATGGTTCTCTTTAAACTCCATCCCACCAAATTAAATGTCCTTACATTTTAAGATGTCCTAGAACTGTGGTCTCTCTCTTTTGGTCAACTAATCCTCTCCATTGTTTATGAGTATATTACTATGTAGCATAATATAAACAAACACTGTGAATCAACATTATAACGGTTCAAGGTTTTAAGATGCTTATGATCTGCCTTTTACTTACATTGTGTGCCAAACAATATGTAGCAAGTTTGATATGCAGTGAATATTTACCGCTATATACTTCTGTCCTTGAAATATACCATCAATGTATTTTTTTTTTGATAAGATTTGAAGGTCTCTTTAAAAACCTCCTTCTTGATTAATGGAGCTTGTAAAGAAGCTTCTTAATCATCGGAAGGAGGAAAAGAGTGCCTTATAATTTCATTGAAGAAAATAAGAATTACAACCTTGGAAAGAAAAATCCAAGTAGAACCCTTACAACAATTCTTGAGCCTTAAAACCGAACTATAGAAGCCAACAACATAATAATCAACCTATACCAGCCTTTGCTAGAGCATCGGCATCCATATTAGCTGTCCTTGCAATCCATCTAACAACCCCCCCGACAGTTTTAAGACACTCAACAATATCTCTAACAATGAAACCATAAACAGCTGGACATGAGACAACCTTATTGATCCAGTCTACTGCAACTCTGCTATCACTCTCTATGATCAACCTATCTTTAACCCTCCCTAGGACAGAGGTAAAGAAAGAGATACCCCTTTGGATAGCTTTAAGTTCCTTCAATGTTGGAGGTCCAGAACCATCCGGTTCCTGAAAAGAACCAAGGATTGCACCAGAATGATCCCTCATAAGACCACCCAGACCTGATTTTTCCCAATCACAACTAATTGCTGCATCCACATTCAACTTGATGAAACCCGTAGGGGGAGGTAACCAAGGGGTTATGGAAGACTTCAAGAAATTGTAGGACGAGTAAGAATCCCCTATAGAAGGATCAGAAATTAAGGAGTCCTTAGGAATAGAAACATCCTTATTCTTTGCTAAATACTAAGAGGCCAGCCTAACTCTTGTTAAGAAGAATAATTCAGAGGATCCTTATTTTTAGATTCCTATACCAGACAAACCTCATTCAGAGGATTCAACTGAAATCCAAGAGTGGAAATGGAGTGTGAGAAAGGCAAACAAGGTTAACCGTGAGAGACATTCTCAACGATGTGACACTGAACTTAAGCTTTCGGTAACATCTCTTTCTCTCTCCCAAAAAAAAATAAAAAAAATAAAAAAATGTATCTGTGTGTGCATTACTTGATTTGTATTTTGATGCATTTGTCTGTTTGTGTCTGTGTTCTCATATGACAGGTGGCTCGGAGAATGGAAAATGAGGAAGGCTTTTATTATCCTCACAATCTTGATTTTCGAGGTCGTGCATACCCCATGCATCCACATCTGAATCATCTAAGTTCTGATCTCTGTCTAGGAGTTCTTGAATTTGCTGAAGGACGATCACTGGGGAGATCAGGGTTACATTGGCTGAAAATACATTTAGCAAATCTTTACTCAGGAGGTGTTGAAAAGCTTTCACATGATGGGTGTCTGGCATTTATTGATAACCATTTAGATGAAATATTTGACTCAGCAGAAAACCCTATCAATGATAACCGAT